GGAGCCTGCCCAGGGGGCTCCTGCACACGCCGGAGTCTGGTCAGCAGGCGTGGAGCAACACTCTTGGGCCACGGGACTCAGATCTGTCTGCACTTAGTGCTCGGAGCCCACTTCTCACCCTGTTGCAATGTACCACTCCCTCCACACTGAGTAGTGCCCAGGTGGACCACAGCGTCCTCTCGTGGATGAAGGGGAAACGCTCCTTCTGCTGTCAGTGGACTGTCAGTTTGGTGAGGCCCGGGTGTCCTGCTCTTCAGGCCACAAGCAGGCAGTAACATCTATGTGTGACCCCAGTCCTGTTCCCCCCTTAGAACCTCTGTGTGTCCACTCATCGGCCTAGGGCCTCCCCAGCCTTGCTGACTCCTCCTGTTAGTCAGACTGCTTTGGATTGTAAATACAGGACAAAGCGGCTCGGTCTTGCTTAGACAACAGGGAGCTGGCCGACTCTCATGGCTGAAGTAGGATAGGCTTCAGGCATAGTTTGATCAGGGTTCCAGCTCTACTTCTCTGTGACTATCTCTACCCAAGTCCCCCTCTATGGGTCAGCTTTATCTTTGGGCTAATTTCTCTTATTGTATCAAAACACCTAGGCCTCATACCCACATCCACACTGTCCAGGGCATGACAGGATGTCCAGGGCCGAGGATTCTGGGAAAGTGTGATTGGACCAGCTTGGGTTGCATGCCTACCCTGGAACTGATCGCCAGGACTGGGACGCGATGTTCTGACTGGTTGTGGGCTCTAATTCAGACACCTGTGGTAGACTCGACTTTCCAGAAACAATCTCCTAACCAATAACTGTACGGAGAGCAGTGGGGTGGCACTGGGAGGTCACAGGTCCCAGCCTCTTCCCACCAGCAACCAGGTCTCATGACATCTCTTCCCAGAGAGGCTTTCCATGAACCCCCACCCACACCGGTTCCTCACTTAATTTCCTTCTCATTGACCCCAGCTCCTTTTCGTCATAGCAGCAATTAGATTTCATAATTGTCTAGTAATTTGTGGGTCTGCTCATTATCTGTCTCCTTTGCCAGACCTCATCCATCTTATTTGTTCCATGTTCCCAATGCCTGGCACAGTCCCGGCTCAAATTGGACCCTTGGTAAATATGTGTTGGGTGGATGGATAGATGATGGATGGATGGATGGATGGATGGTGGATGGATGGGGGATGGATGGACGATGGATGGATGGATGGNGGCTGTAAATGGGGAGGTTGTTCCCACTTCCACCACTGCACGTACCCCTGCCCTGAACTTCCTGTATGTGGGAATGGTTTTCTTAGGTTCCTGGGAGTGTAATGACTGGATTAAAGGGCATGGAAAATAGAAGGTTCTGGAAACATATTTCCAAACAGTTGACAGGAAAGCACCAACGGCACCCACCCCCACCAGCCTTTCTCATCACTGTCCTGGCAATAGTAGATGTTCTTATTTCTTATTTTCAAAAACTTAATTACTTTTCTGAATAGGTGATGCACGGCACATACAAGTCATAACCCCAAACGGTCCCAAAGGGTACGTGGGGAAAAGTCAGCCTCCTCAACACCGGCCGCTCTTCCCCGGAGAGAGTGTCCCTCTTCCTGCGACCTGCTCACCTCTCACGGACTTCTGTTGTTTGTCACTCCTGATTTTTCTTTTTTGATTATGTTTTTAATCATTCGTTTGACAACCTTTATAGGAGCTTCCTCTTTTTTGTTGTGTTACCGTCGTAACCATTTCTAAGTGTCTAGTTCAGCAGCATTACGTGCATTCACATTGTTGTGAACGTCCCCATCGTCCATCTCCAGGACTCTTCCATCTTCCCAAACTGGAACTCTGTCCCCACTAAACAACTCCCCACCCGCAGCGTCCCCAACCCCGGCCACCTCCATTCTGCTTTCTGTCCTGGGAAGTTGGCTCCTCTGGGGACCTCTTGTGACTGGAATCACACAGTATTGGTCTTTTTAATGCCTGGTTGTTTTCTATGTTTATGCCTGTCCTTACCCTCTCCCTGCTGTCACTTCCCAGGAGAACCTGTGGGACCAATTCCTGAGGGGACCACCCACTGTCCACTGTCCTGACTGCCCTGGGAGGCTGTGCTAATGCAGCTCTTGCCCAGCACATTGGGGCACCTGCCCCCCTCCTCACTCTTGCTCCGCGTTTAAGCCCTCCAGGGGTCCCGAGTGCCCATATCTGGAGGCCACTGTCCCCTCCCCCGGCCCTGGCCAGCAGCTCCCTCCCGGTCTGTTTCTCTTCCAGACTCTGAGCCCCCAGGAGCAGGCATTCATTTTGGAGGTTCTGTCCGGGTGCCTGGAGTACCGGAAGTTACTGACCATCGTGGTGGATGCCTTCTACGTGCGGGACGGCCGGTTCTGCCGATGGTCAGACTACAACATATTCCAGGGTAGGTGCCCGTCCTGGCTGGCTGGATGAGTCAGGGCCCCGTTTCCCCTCTGGCTCTGCTGGGCACTGCCTCCCTGCCCCCAGAGCTCTCAGCCCTCACTTCACTTGGTCCTCTCGGATGCCAGCCAGTGAGCAGACCAGGGTCCTCCTTGCAGACATGGAAACAGACTCCAGGCTCAGGGGTCCAGGCTCCAGGGGACAGACCTCGGGCCCTGCTGCCCGAGGGAGGCACTGCCTGGCTGAGAGAGAATGCCCCAGAAAGCCAGCCCTGGTGAAACGACGAGCCTTTATCAGCTGCGGTCCTGACCCCCCACCCGAGGACTGTGGGCAGAGCCGGCCTTATGGCCGCGTCCAGACTGTCCTGAGGGGGCTGAAATGGGAGATGTCCCTGCCCCGGCTTCCTGCAGGCTGTCTGCTCTCATGGGGTGTGGTGACCATTGTGGGCCGGTGTCCCTGTCCAGGAGGAGAAGGGATGGGGACTGCAGGTGCTCAGAGGCCCAGCTGGGTGGCCTGATGCCCCTCAGCTCAGGTTGCACAATGGTCGGCAGTGTGTCAGGGGCCCGCGCACCTTACGGGCAGCCCCTGCCTAGGAGGGCCTCACCTAGGACGGGGAAGTTGGAGCTCCAGCCCCCAGGAGGCACCTCGGTCCCTCAGAATCCACACACTGAAAGCCACTGTGATTTTACTCGTACCGGGAGCCTCTGGAATTTCTGAGGACTTCCCAAATGAGATCTTATCCATGAAGGGCTTTGTGAAGCCACAGAATGTCTGGGACGACATCGTTTGTATGGTGTCCTGGTTACCACTGCCACATGGGCGCCACACAGACCTTCGGCTTGTGGTTTCGCACCCCGACCCTGCCTCTGGCTGACTCCCCAAGATGAAACACTGGGGGCCTGGGGGAAGGGACCCCAGTGTCCCTGTAGTGGGGCGTGCCCGCCCCTCCTCACGCCCACCCTGTCTCCTCAGTCATCTGCTACCTGGCCACTTTCCAGCTGGCGGAGCTCGGCTTTCAGCTCTTCTGCAGCATCGTGAAGTCCCAGCCTGCAGACAAGATGCATAAGGTGACAGGCCCCCACCCCCACCCCTGCCCCCGCCAGGAGCTCTCTTCTCAGACCCTAGGGCAAAGGTCGGTCCACTCTAACCTCGCACCTCCCCGGCTCATCTAACAGAGAAACTCTGCTGCGTTTGTTCTGTTTAGAACAAACCCGCTCCCTCTCGTCTCTGCCCTGCCATGTGTTCTTCCGTCTCCGGGGAGTTTGAGTCCCACCCTCACTGTCCCAGGGGGTGGTAGCTGCTGAGTGTCAGCCACTGGTCGGGGCAGGGAGTCCTTGGCTGGTCATAGCCTGGGCCTCTGGAACCTTCCTGGGCCCTTTCTGACTCGTGACCAACCTCCAGGCCCAGGGCAGCCTCTCCTCCCTGCCAGGGGCCGTGGGAGTGAGTCCTGAGCAGGCCCCGAGGATTGGCACCTTGGATAGGGTGGACAGGCTACCTCCCCGGGCCCTCCCACTGGCACAGTGCTGGGCAAGGTGGGCAGATTGCAGAAAATGGAGCTGTTCCACTCTTGGAATTCCAGAGCCTGTGGGGGTGGGGGAGGCAGGCAGCTGTCCCTCTGTCCCCACCAAGAACTCTCTGGAAGAGGGGTGTGGGCCTCCAGGTCCTGGGGGGCTGGCTGGAGCACAGGATCCCCTCAGCAAGGACATGACCTGCTGGGCTGTCTCTGAGGGCCCAGATACTGTGAGCAGAAGCCCTTGTGGTGGGGGGCAGCTCCCCCAAAACAGGTGCCCCAGCCCAGCAGAAGGGAGGGGAGGGAGTCTGTCCTGAGGGACCTGCTGCCCTTTCCTGTGCCTCAGCCACGCCTGCCCCCTCGGCGCTGACTCTCCCCGGGAGGGGCACTGGGGCTTCACCAGGCATGGGGGTCTGGGCCTGAACCCCCACAGCTCCCACCTCTCTCTCAGTTCCTCAGGTTCTTCTTCAACCCCTTAAACCTGTGCTCGTGGATCAAGGACGAGTGGAGCCTGGTCTATGAGATGGCGCACGTGAAGGAGAACTGGATCCACCCCCTGATGAGGTGGGCCAGGCCGGGACCCCTGCACCCACTCCCAAGGGCCTCTGCGGGTCCCCTGCCTGCTCACGGGGGGGCCCACCTCTGGACAGCTGCTCAGCTGGTTCTAGGGTGCCGCACCACCCCCATATTCAGCTTCCCCTGGCCGTTCGGGGACCAGCCCCGTCACAGCCTGTCCCCTCCCTGCTGGCCATCAGACATGCCCTTCCTCCCACTGGGGTCAGTGGTCCTCAAACGGGGGCAGGAGCTATTTCAAACCATGCTGTCTGTGCCCAGGTCGGTGATGAAGGGCTGTGCCTGCACGGGGCGTGGGGCATGAAAGGGGGCCCTTCCCGAATTCCGGCCCCGGGGCACCCGCCCAGCCCCCGCAGCCCCATTCCCGCCGGCGCCAGCTGCAGCCCCAGGGGGGTCCTGTTGAGTCGCCTTCCCACTCTCGGCTTCCTTCCTCCGTGCCATCTGCTCAGGCCCAGATTAGCTCCGTGTCCCAGCTGCTGCTTGTCCTCAGAGCCCCCCAGGATTCCTCCAGCGGGGGTGGGCCCTGCCCCCTCCTCCCAGCCGCCACTCACCTAGGAGAATGATGCGGCCGGGCCTCAGTTTCCTCATCTGTGCTAGGGGAATGCTGGTCTGTGTGACTCCGGGGTGTGGCTGGCACAGCGCCTGCACAGCAGTAGGCGCTCAGTGAAGAGTGGCCGTGGTGCCATTGTCACCCCCGCCCTGAGGTGGACCCACGCTCTTGGGGGCCCTTTGGATCCCAAGGGCCCTCTCCTTGTCGACCTGCTTAGGAAGTGACCCTCAGCACTTCTTCCACGTTTGCCTTCAAGATGGCAGCCGCAAGTCCAGGAGCTGATCAACCAGTTGGAGGGGGTGTTGGCCAATCAGCCCCCTCTTGCAAAGACCAAGGCCAAGGTCACAGAGCCCAAGAAGTTCAACCTGACTGTCCCCAGGCCCTGCGCCATTCCAGTGCCCGAGCTAGTCCCTGTCCTGGCCAAACCAAGANTCCCATGCAGGCAGGGTGTTCTGTTACCTGTGTAATGAGCACCCAGCTGACATTCTAGCAGGAAGGGGCCATAAACCAGCAGTGTGTGCTGCTGGGTGAGGGGGCTGGGCAATCTGACCATGAGGGGTGGTCAGATGCGTCTCAGGTCAGGTAGCGTCTGAGAAAAGACCCAACGGGTGTAGGGGAGCAGGCATGCTGGGAAGAGCGCTGCAGGCAGAAGGAACAGCCAACACGGAGGCCCTGAGGCATCCCACATGTTGGAGAAACAGAGGGAGGCCTGTGCGACTGGAGTGGGGACTCGGAGCTGACCAGCCTACACAGGGCCTCACTGGCCATCGTAAGGACTCTTCTGGAAGGTTGTGAGGGAAAATGGACATAATATGACTTCCATTTTAAAAGAGCCGTGTGGCGCCTGGGTTGGAAGTAGAATGGAAAGGGGACAAGAGGAGAAGCCAGGGCATGGGCTGCATCAGGGACGCCCTCCCCGTGGACGGGCCGCGACGGCAGTGACAGCGAGACCGGTGGCAGGAAGAGCTCACAGGCTTGGTCTTAACAGCTAGAGCAGGGTGTGGTTCCTGAGCTGGGCAGGCCGGGAGGGGCAGGCGTGGGCAGCACCTCAGGTGTCCAAGTGGGGAGGTGGGGCAGGAGCGGACAGAGGGCCGGCGGGCGCACATCTGGACTCAGCACGTTTTCAGCCTTGACGCCGAAGTGCAGATCGTGAAGGAATGAGGTGGGAGGGGTGGGCCCTGAGGCCCCCCTACAGTGGAGACATTGGAGACGTGGAGGAGGGCCCTGTCTGGAGCCCTCGGTGCAGGTGGTGGGCAAGAGAACATGGTTACCTGTACCAGGAGGAGCCGGAAGCCAGCCCAGCACCTGACGGACACAGAGATTTCACTCCGGAGCCGGGGGAAGGGCTGCAGAACCCGAGTCTGGGGTGGCATGGCTTTCCCATGTGCCCTGCCCACCGTGCTCCCCAAGTTCCAGGTCGGGACATGAGGGAGCTGCTGCTGCGGGCGGGCCTCCGCCCAGGGTGGCGTCTCTCACCTCTGCCCAGGGAGCAAGAGAGGCTTTGTGTCCTTTCCCTCCCATCATCCTGCAAGCGTGTCAGCAGAGCGGGCTGGAGACTCTGGAAGGAGAGACGGTGACACCGTCTGCCGAGACGCTATCTGGATAGTCCTACTCCCACTGGAGGCTCCCCGAGATCTGGTGGCTTGTCCATGATCCCTCAGGTGATCTCACTGCTCCGCTGTTTTCTTAGCATAAAAGCATCAAAAAGGAAAAGATTTGACCTCAAAAAATAGGTACAACTTCTACATGCCAAACAATATTTTACACAAAGTTAAAAGGCAAGTTACAAACTCCTGACAAATAGCTATCACATTTATGACCCTCTTAGTTGCCATAATCTATCAAGAACTCATAAAAATAACTAAGAAAAACATTGTCCCAATAAAAAAGTTAGTCAAGAACATAAATTGATAATTCACAGAAAAGAAATACACATAAATGTCCAGTAGACGTACAAATGTCACTAATAACAAAAAAATATATATCCAAAATAAAACAATGGGATACGAAAATTTATCTAATTGATTGGAAAAAAAATTTTTAATGTCACTGCTGGTGAGAGTTTATTTTTATGTGTTTTATGTCTGTTGGGGTCACGGTCTCCATTTCCATTTTATACTCTGTTAACTACTTTGTAAGTTTGGGAAGATTTTNGGCACTTTAGGTCCCCAGAACTTACTCGCCTTCTAACTGAAACTTGCTGGCCTCTGACCAGCATCTCTCATTTCCTGGAAGCACCCTCTACGCTTTGTGATTGTGAGGTTGACTCTTTTAGATCCCACATATAACTGAGATCACACGGTATTTGTCTTTCTGTGTCTGGCTTACTTCGCTCAGCGTAATGCCCTCCAGGCCCATCCATGTTGTCACAAATGGCAGGATTTCCGTCTTCTTTGAGACTGAATATATTCCATTGCTTATATACACACCTCTTCTTTACCACTCGCCTGTCCATAGACGCGTAAGTTGTTCCGGGTCTTGGCTACTGTGAATAATGCTGCAGTGAACATGGGGGTGCAGATATCTCTTCAAGATAGTAATTTTATTTCCTTTGGATAAATACCCAGGAGCGTGGTTGCTGGCTCATAAGGTAGTTCTATTTTTAACTTTTTGAGGAACCTCCATACTGTTTTCCACAGTGGCTGCACCAATTTACAATCTCACCCATCCCTTTTCTCACATCCTGCTGACACTTGTTATCTTTTGAATTGCATTTTCCTGATGATTGTGATGCTGAGCATAGGTGCCTGTTGGCCATCTTTATATCTTCTTTGGGAAAATGTTTGTTCAGGTCCTTTGCCCATTTTTCTCATCAAGTCACTTTATTTTTTACTATTGAGTTATATGAGCTCCTTATGTATTTTAGATATTAACCTCTTATTGGATAAATGGTTTGCAAATATTTTCTCCCATTCCATAGGTTGCCTTTTCGTTTTGTTGTTTTCTTTGCTCTGCAGAAACTTTTCAGTTTAATATAGTCCCATTTGTGTATTTTTGCTTCTGTTGCTTGTGCTTTTGGTGTCAAGTCCAAAATAAAAAAAAACAAAAATTCATTGTCAAGACCCATGTCAAGGAACTTTTCCCGTATTTTCATCTGGGAGTCTTCTGGGTTCAGGTCTCTGTGCTGTCCTCATACCATCACCCCCGACAACGTGGCCAGGCTGAGGCCCCAGGCTCAGCTCAGCTCACCTCCTGGTTCAGGCCTCTTTCTTTACCGCAGTTCTACTTACTTGGCATAAGACTCCTGGAATGTTCTGGTAGCCCACTTTTTTTTCACCTGGTATTTCCATACAAGCATTTCTCCAACTTACTACAATTTTCAAAAGTACTTTTTTAAATACACTATTTGTTTTGAAACAGTTTTAAGAGTTACAGAACACTTGTAGAGGTGGTACAGAGTTCCCATACCCTCCCCAACTAGCTTCCTCTGCCGGTAACGCTGTGTGCAGGCTCCTGGCTGCCACAAGTAAGCACGCGAATAGGAGATGGTTCTGGAGGTCCTGAAGACCTCAAGTCCAAGATCAAGGTATCAGCTGGGCTGTGCTCTCTGCTCAGCCCCTCAGGGAGAGCAGGGTCCTTCCTGTCTCTTCCAGATTCCGGTGACCCCAGGAATTCCTTGTTTTGTGGCAGCCTTACCCCAGTCTCTGCCTCCATCTTCACACGGTTGCCTTCTCTGTGACTCTCTGTCTTCTTTTCTTATATGGACCCTTGTCATTGGATGTAGGGCCCACCCTAAATCCAGGATGATTTCATCTTGAGATCCTTCTACTTATTAGATGCAACTAGTTGGAAATACGATCACAGTCTGAGGTTCCAGGTGGACATGAATTTTGGGGGACACTAACTCACTACAGCATGGTATAGTTGTCACAACTAAGAAACCAACATTGGTTCATGACTCTTAACTCCACACTTTATTCAGACTTCATCAGTATTTCCCCACTAATGTTGTTTTTCTGCCCAGGGTGCCACCCAGGACACATTATGTTGAGTTGTCATGTCTCAGACTCCTCTTGGCTGTTAGAGTTTCTCAGACTTTCCCTGCTTTTAGTGACCTTGACAGTGTTTAGGAGTGTTGGTCATGTATCCCATAGAACGTCCCTCAGCTGGGGTGTTTTTGATGTCCTTCTCATGACTAGACTGGGGTATGGGACGAAGTCCACAGAGGTAGGGAGCTCTTTTCATCATATCCTGTCAAGGGTGTCTACTAGCCACAAATTTATGACTGTTGATGACCTTGATCACCTGGCTGGGGTCATGTTTGCCAAGTTTGTCCACTGCAATTATGCCCCCTTTCCATTTTGTACTCTTTGGAAGCATGTCTCTAAGCATTGCCCACACTCACAGAGGCGGGCTGTTCCTAGGACCGCTGCATGGGAGCTGCTGTCTTCTCCCCACGTACTCATTTACTCAGCCACTTATTTATACCAGAGTGGGCCGTGCCCGTTTATTTTATCCCTCGTGTTATAATCCAGTAGGCGATTTTGCCACCAGCTTTGGCCCCTGGCAGCCCTTGTAGGTTCGCTCCATGTCCCTTTGACATGCCCTCATCCTGTTGTTCTGAACACTCCCTTACTTCCTGGTCCTATAAAATGCTCCAGGCTTGTGTGTCCCCTGCCCCAGCCCTAAAATGACTATTTCTCCACGAGGCCTTGTTCCCTTTTCTTAGAAGACCTGGAATGAAATTACACAGCATTGTAGGAGATGATCACGAGCCATTCTTGGACACGCCAGCAAACTGTTTTACGAAGGGATGACTTCGTACCCTCAACCTGGCGTCCAAGCAGTCCTCAGGCTGCTCCCCCACCTACCTGTAGCTGAAGCTGAGCTCCCAGTTGCAGAGACTTCCAGCGGCTGGGAACCCAATAGGTCCCCAGCAGCACAGGGCTGGTGACGGATACAAATCCCACAATGTCCTTTGTAGGGTCTTGCAGACTGAAAGCATTATTCTTGGTTGTCCACAATAGCACCAAAGTGGAAACAACCTGAGTCCATCAATGGTAGAATGGATCAAAGAGTTGTGATATATTCTCAAAAACAGCTGTGAAAAGAAGCCAGCTGCACTCCAGGCGTCTAGGTGATGGATGAGGTAGGTGGGGCTAAGAGACCCTCCTCCTGAGCAGAAGAGGCGGCCGGAGCAGGCACACGGACCACCCCAGTTATCTGTGGTCAGTGAGGCAAAACCACGTCCTCTTGTCTAGAGCTGTGCACTTCTGAGGCACCAGGAGAAAGGAGAGCACGGGGAGACCAACCATCCAGACAAGCCCAGGGGGCCGTGNAACCTGGGGGAGATGCGGTGTGCGATGCCTAGGAAGCCCCCCGCACAGGTAAGGTTCCCCCACACACACGCCCACCAGTCCTCATGGTGACACTTTCTCATGTCTAGAAAAGCGGCGACACGATGAGCCACTTACATAGCCTTCCCATGTCAGACACTGGAGGCCAGGCTCCCAGTGCTGCTGGGCAGTGCCCCTCGGGCCAGGCCGAGTGCAGCCGGTGGGCGGTATAGACAGGTCCTAAACTACCGCGAGGAAGCTGTCCATTGGGGTCTCAGGTGTTTCCTGATTTTCATGCTGAGCAAATACTGTTTCTATATGAAGAAAGCCCAAGGTATGTTGGTCAATGAAGAAAAAGTAATGGGAACAGGACGAGGAAGGCTTGTGGTCTGTGGATGCAGCATGGGTGGGTGCTGGCCTGGCCCCAGCCTCCCCGCCCTGGTCCCGCCTGGGTGGCAGCTGGATGACACAGAGATGGGTCCCCCGAGCCGTTGGGGCAGATGGGGCAGTGGGCACCCAGCACAGTAGCGTGTCCCAGGGGGTATGATGGCTGAGTTCCCATGGGGGGCTTTTTACCACCTGTGTCTTGTGGTGCCCACCGTGGAGCTTTCAACAGAGCAGCAGGGCTGGAGCGGGGGGAGGAAACAGACTCAGACTCAGGGAGCAGCCCAGGAAAGGCCATGGGGTCAGCCATGTGGGCAGCTGGGGAGGTGGACCCTGAGCCTGAGACCAAGCCCTCCTGACTGGGATTCACTATCCCCAGCCCCCGCAGTCCCTGTACCTTCTCTGCCCCTGCCCAGGTAGCCCAATGCCCCACAAGGCTTGGGAGACATTGCAGGACAGAGGTGCTGTCCTAGGGGGACCCAGGTATGGCGGGGGGGTGGGCCAGGTGGAACATGTGGATGGGCAGTGGATGGATAGGACAGAGAGGAGTGGGCTGGGCCTCCCAGGGGTGCTGGGGCCCACCGTTCCCAGGGTGCGTTTGGGGGCACTGAGTGGACATAGGTGCCAGGCCCTGACTCCCGCAGGGTTCCAAGAAGAAGCTACAGCTCCAATTCCCCCCCCGAATCCGCAAGACTCCGCAGCTGACCTTCTACAGGGTGAGGGGTGCTCCTGTGGGTCAGAACGGGTGAGGGGAGCCCCTGCGGGTCCGGGCGGGTGAGGGGTGCCCCCGGTACTCACCTCCCAGTCTGTTCTGCCCCTGGGGGCTTGGATGGCCAGAGCTGGAGGCCCCAAGGACAGCCCCATCCTTAACGCAGAGGGAAGTGCCTGGACAGGGGCACCTGTGGAGGGCAGGAGGGCGGGGGCCCTTGCTGCTCCATGGCACTTCACACAGCCAGCCTCTCCTCTTTGCCACAGCCCAACGACGACGTCCCCGTCAAGCTGAACACTGCTGCCATCCTGCGAGAGGGGGCCTTGTACCAGCGACAGGTGGAAAGAGAGCTGCAGAGGTGGGGAGAGGGTGCAGGGGCTGGATCCTGCAGGAGAGGTTGGTGGGCAGAGCACGGAAGGGGCCCTGGTGGCTGTGGTCCTGCAGGGGCCAGGCCTCGAGCAGGCCGGGGCCAGGGTCATGGCTGCATCCGAGAAAGATAACCTCAGCTCAGTGAGGGAGACAGACTGGGTGGCCGCAGGCTCAGCAGATTCCTGGCCTGCCCCAAACCTCCCTCGGGTCATGGCCTCCTCTGGCCCCTTCCTGATGCCCCCTCCCCTAAGCCACCAGTGCTGCAGACCCCTGTGCTCAGCCCATGAGTTGGGAGCTTGGGTGGCTAGCCAGGTGGGTGAGGGACAGACAGACGGACAGGAGGATGGCGGATGGACAGGTGGACAAAGGGATGGCATGTGGACAGATGGGTGGGCAGGGGGATGGCAGATGGACAGACGGGTGAATGGACAAACAAGTGGATGAAGAGAGAGGTGGGAAGATGTGGCTGACGGGCGGATGCACAGGACGGGACAGGTGGGCAGGGGGTGTGTGGGTGATGTGGCTGGTGTTGGGTAAAGGTCAGCTCATGCTGTGAGGGCTACTGTCCCCAGGGGAACCTGTGGCCTCCTGGTGGCCAGCACAGGCCCCATCACAGGAGGAACCCAAGCCCTGGCCCTGCCCTCTCTCTCAGGGTGGAGAAGCTTGTAGACGGGGCCAGGGACTTCTCCGAGTTCCTCGAGTGGCAGAAGAAGATGCAGGCAAAGGACTGGCAGGAGCAGCAGGCTGCGGGCGAGTGCCGGAGGCTGCAGGGGCAGCTCAGCCACGAGGAGGCCGTCCTGGCCCGGCAGCGGCTCCTGCAGGACAACAAGCAGAAGGCCGACCAAAAGAAAGAGGAGGTGACTTGGGCCGTGCGGGGCGGCTGGGGGCCTGCGGGTGGGCAGGCGGGCCTGTCTGACCCCCAGGAGCTGTGGGGTCATGGCCGGCAGTGGGCCTGGCCTCTCCTAGGGTCACTAGCTTGCAGGCTGACCTCAGGTCATTTCCTCCTAAGACCCCTAGAGTGGCCCTGGGCTTTGTCCCCACCTGGACAGCTGCTGGGGGCTCTGGAGGCATTTGCGGTCAGCTGGCCTGAGTGGACTGTCTGGCCAGCACTTCCGGTCCAGGATACCCTTACCCCCACCAGCAGGGCCAATCGGTCCACACATCCACATGTGAAGGAAGACCTGAGGTTTTGGCAGAAACTTCTGTAAGGCTGACATATTTGTATATGGCATGTTTATGTATGACACGTTTGCGTGTCCTCTCCCACAGGAGGGTCTGTGGACGCCCATGTCACCACTTTAGAAGGTCCAGACATATCAGTCCTGGCTTTTCCTCTTTCTAGTGGGGGCTCCAAACGTGTGTTCCCGGAAAACCTGTTCCTGTGAGTGGGCCTCGCAGGCCCCTGCAGCTCTGTCTGTCCTTAGTCACGCACCACTGAGCGAACGCCAGAGGTCAGGGGACACACCGACGTTCACTCAAATTACTTCTTTGATAGACTCATTTGTGTCTGTTTGTACTTAATGTTAGGGTTTGCTTTCCCTTACTTTTCAGTTTACTTTTTTATTTTTATTTATTTTTTATTGAGGAACAGTGTGTTTTTCCAGGATCCATCAGTTCCCAGTCAGGTAGTTGTTTCAATCAAGTTGTGGAGGGCGCAACTCAGTGGCCCATGTGGGGATCGAACCGGCAACCTTGATGTTATGAGCCTGCGCTCTAACCAACTGAGCTAACCGGCCGCCCCCAGTTTACGTTTTTAATATGTGAAGTCACACAAGACAAACAGAGAAGTCTCAATTCTTGTAAGTCTATAAATTACAGCCCTTATTTTTAGTTTCTGGGTTATCTTTTCTGTTTTTCCTTCTAAGCAAACATACACACTTGTAAATACACACTTCTTAATGCCCTTGTCCTTACCTAAAATGCCACGTCTTGCTTTAGCTGCCATGAGTCACGGGCAAGTTTTTCATATTTGTGGAGGTGGATTTTCAAGGTAAATTCTAGACGAGGGATTGCTAAATCAGCGAGTGACTGAGACTGAGCGTGTGGGCTGTCCTGCTGTTTTTGTTTTGTTTGGGGTACATGAGGGGCCACATCATTTTCCATCGGGCTCAAACCATCGTCATTCCCGCAGCACTGGGGGCGGGGCCAGGTCCCCATGGCCAGGTCTCTGTGCCCCCGCAGAGTGCTCTGTGCTGAATTCAGGCGTTTTGTCAACTCATAGGTGAGAAAGAGTATCTTGCTACAGTTCTGATTTGCATTTCACTTATTATTTGTGAACTTGAGCATGTCTTCATATATTTAAGAGCCATTTCTATATCTTTGCTCTGTATACTGTCTGCTCATGTCTTTTGTCCATTTTCTTTCTCCCCCCAGCTTTGTTGGGGTCTGACTGATAAGTAAAATTTGCATATACTTAAGATGTATAACCTGATGTTTTGATGTACATACACATTATGAAGTGGTCACAGTCAAGCTAGTTAACACCTCCATCACCTC